CCTGTGTTCTCTTGTATTTCTTTAAGGGAGTTATTTATGTCCTTCTTAAAGTTCTCTATCATCATCATGTGTTTGGGTGAGGGTTGGGTCCTAAGTGCCCCAAGGTCCCAGCTGCAGCTCTGGGGCATAGGGTTGTGGGAGAGGATTCTTTTCCACTGCTCTTGAGTACAGTGGTTCCTCTAGGATGGGTCAGGATATGGTGTCTTCAAGGCTCTTTGTGTCTTTTATTGATCTGGGTCCTAACTTTTCCTTGTCATTGGGGTAATTTTAAAGAAGTATGTTTTAAAATTGCTCTAATTGATGGTTAGTTTGTAGCCTTTCATCATACTTATGCCTCTATATTTTGAATTAATGATATTAACATAAATCTAGTGCAGACAATGAGCCTCTCAGAAATAGGTCCTAGCTCTCAGGGTGGGCAGAGATGTTTCTGATCCAGCTGGGCATCTTTCACTTTTAGATCTTAAATAAAAAGCTAAATAGTAAAATTTTATTATAATGCACCAGCTTGAATCTAAGTTCAGTGTTACACCTGGAATTTAAGGTTATTAAATTTTAATAGTATATATTAAATTTGAGTCACTGGGGACTAGGTCCCTCAGTTCAAATCAGGAGTAAAGGCAAATGGCTCCAAGGGCTTGGATTGCCTTCTCCACAGGCTGGATGTCACTGAGAAGTGCTGTGGGCTTCTCTGGGAGGAGTGGTAGCATGACTGCTGTTTTCTGGCAGTAGAGGGAAGCTCATTATCCTCAGAGCTCACCCATCTACTGTCGTCTGTGTCTCATCTTTTAGTGGTGAGCTGCTGGAACGCTTTACTCCCTTTTTAGCTTAGGGACTTGTTGTTGTTGTTGTTGTTCCTGGAGATTAGAATGCACCATGGTAGCTTGCATTCAGTTCACTTGTCTGTAAGGCTCTCATTGAGGAAAAGGTGTGTTCATGTGGAGGAGAACAGCGTTCAGTCCACCTTGGGAAACCACACTGTAGTCAGTTCTTTGGTTTCTGTCCCAGTATCTTACAGATGTAGGTTTATATTCATGACCAGTAGCTTTTATTCCATTTGAATAGCACTTAATGGTTTTATAATTTGTAGCTTTGCTTGTACTCCTAACTACATGGCCTCCCCTTGGTTTCTTCTTTGCATTCTGGCTCCCAAGACCTTTTGTTCATCGTCCAAGAATCTACTTCAGCCAGGCTTTTGTCTCTACTACTTCAGAAAACATCTCTTGTTAAAGTTGGAATGACTTTCATGCTACCTAAGCCAGTTGTCAACTGCACCACCGACCTTACTATGGTCCTTCTCCTCCCCCTTCACTCATTTCCTGCCCCTCGATTCCCTTACAGAAAGATTTTTTGTGAGTCCCTCAGCTGCGTAAGTTATGTCAGCATTACTCCATTTTCCTCTTCTGTTATAATGACTGCTGGATTTTTCATTCTTCCTTCTGTAACTTTTCTCACTTTAAAAAAAGCTTCTTGACTTTGACTTCCTCCTCACAACCCCGTTGCTTTGTGGCAGCACTAAGGAAGAACTCTGCTTGCATTTCTCTTTCCAGCTCTTCTGGGAATCCAGTTGAGCCAGGCTTTTGTCTCCCATTACTCCAGAAAACCAACTCTTGTTTAGGTTGCAGTGACCTCCAAGCCAGCGATCCAGTTGTCAATCCTCTGTCTTCATCTTGCTTGGCCTGTCAGCAGTATTTGACACTGTTGTAAATTCCCCTTTCCTCCATGTGGGTCAGGAGATGTCCTAGGTGCCCTGCCCTTGGTGACTGTTTGTCTGGCAGCCTCTGCACTGCTGCCGAATGCCCGAGAGCTATGCTCTGTTTTCAGACTTATCTATCTTCTCTGCCTGCTTTTACACCACAGCCTGAGGACATTGTGTGTCATCTGCTGGTTGTTCTTTGTGTTTTAATGTGTCGTCTAACCTTTCTCCTGAACAGTATAGATTTGTTCTCACTCGGCTTTCTACCTTTGAGTGTATATCTCAAACTCAGCAGAGCCTGCTCCTCCTCTTCTGAAGCTTTTTTTTTTTTTTTTTTTTTTTTGTAATCTTTCCCGACTCAGGACTTTGCAGCTCAGTCTTCCCAGTTTCTCAGGACTAGAACTTTGTGTTTATCTTTACAAGTTCTAGCAGGCCTGCTTTCAAAACACCCACAACTCAATCGTTTCTTAATGTTTTACTCTACAGGTCTGAGTGATGCCTCTCCCGCCGTGTTTTGTGCTCAGTTCTTTCCTGGTCTCTGCTTCTGTCCTGATACATATATACATACAAACATACATATAATATGTGTGTGTGCACATGTGCGACCCTAGCAATTGGGGTAAGTTCTTCCCTGAGTCTGATTATGCCACCTCTCTGTTCAGACTCTAACATGGATTTCTGTCTCCCTCAGGGTCAGAACAACTTGTTAGTTACCATGTGTAAGCAAGTACTAGCACCTGTAACAGAGCCTTCTCTGCCTCAGACTCCTGTCAGTCCCTACATTTCATTTATTATTTTTCCCTTTCATTTGAACACACCAGAGCCATCTTGCTTCAGGCCCTTGACGTTACTATGATCTCTACATCGCATACTGCTGGTCTTGCTCCTCTTGTCCTGCCATTCTTCCTCAGATGACATCCTGGTGAGATGAGCCCCCAGTGCTAATGGTACTCCTTATTTTCTTAGGCCCATACTATTCTCAAACACCCCATAATTTAATTGTCTGTTACATATTTATATTTATTGCTACTGCTGTCTCTAGAATGTGTCCTAAGGGTACACCTTTGCTCACTAGTGTCTCCAGTGTTAGAATAGAATAGGTTCTTAGATGTAGTAAGCCCACTGCAAACAATTTACTAAATGAATCAACTCAGGAAGCCTCTGTTAGCCGTCTCACATCCTACTTTAACCTTAGGATTCATTGTTTTACTGCCAAGTTACTCTCTTTGCTTGCTCATGGAGCCTGACATCCATTGCTTTGTAGACCACTATTTCATTATGTTTCTTCACCAGCGTTTAGCTTTTCTGTTGACCCATTTTCTGTGCTCCAGAGAACTTCAGGAGGAGGTTGTAACTCTACTAACATCTTCTTGTTAGCCAGTTTTTTTTGTTGTTGTTGTTATTTGTTTGTTTCCAGACAGGGTTTCTCTGTGCAGCACTGGCTGTCTTGGAATTGGTTCTGTAGACCAGCTGGCCTTGAACTCACAGGGATCTGCCTGCTTCTACCTCCCCGAATGTTGGGATTAAAGGTGTGTACCACCACCACCTGACTTGGCCAGCATCCTTCACAGCTTCAGGCTTCCAGAACAGATGTTAGGATTTTCTTCCATCAGTTTCCCACATGTATTTTATGAGGATGTTGGCACTCAGTCTTTGGTGCGCCTCTCCACTTCCAGTGTTGTTTTCTAAGTGGATGCCATAGACAGGGGTCACTACCACCCAAGTCTGAAGTCTTTTTTTATTACATGTCCACCAACTCCTGCTGAGAGGTCCATGCTCAGAGTGCTCACTAGATTTTGGCACTTTGAAAGTCAAGTTTTTTTTCAACATGCTTCATAAGCTTGAGTGAGGCTTTATTTTTAGCATTTGGTCTTTGGTGGCTATCCTGTTTCTTGACCTTCCCTGTTTACCTATTTGTTGCCCTAGCTCTGACAAAAATAAAGTACAGTGTACAACACACATGGCCCAAATAAAAATGGGTAGACCTGGGTGGACATTTCTCAAAAGAAGATATACAAATATACAACAGTCACATGAAAATGCACTTAGCACCCCTTTTCATGGAGAAATGGAAAGGAAGACTCGCCGCATATCTGTTGTAATGGCTGCTTCCAAAGGACAAGAGCGAAGTTCTCTTGAGGATATGGCACCATATCCTCAAGATATGGCACTTGAACACTGGCACCAGAACAGTATGATGAATCCTCCAGAATGGAAAGCAGATATGCTAAGTGATTTACCTCTTCTATTATGGATCCACATTCAAAGGAAATGGATTGGTGTATGAGAGACACTGTGCTCAGGGCTCACCATGTCAGGTTATAGAGACAACTGATGTGTGTGCCAGCAGATAAACAGGTAAAGAGAATGTGGTGATCCTGATGTGTGCCTTTCAGCTTTAAGGAAACTGTGCCATGTAGGGCATCAAGGGATACTCTGTGGAAATTCTGCCAAGTGAAGTCTACACATAGAAAAACCAAACAGTTGGAGCTCATAGAATAGAGAGTATACCAGAAAGGGGACTGTGGGCTGATGTGTGGCCAAATAGATGCCAAAGTTCATAAGAGGGAGTTTAGTAGGCCTGCTGATCTAGTGGTGTGGTGACGAACAGTGCTCTGTATGTTAAAATCCTTGAGAGTATATTGTAGGTTCTAATCAGTAGTGATAAGCTGGCCAGCTCCTTCCTCCATTAACAAGTACAGTGGGGAGGGCATTGCCGTTCGTGGAGAGTAAAACCTCAGGTCACGTAGAGTAATCCTGTACAGTCTTGATTAGACAAAGAAAGTGGGATTTATCTTTGAGACTTAAGCCACAGCTGAATAAAGAATTTTAATATGTGGCATATTTACTGAACACTGATCTCTGATGCTTCTTTTATGCTAAAGCTCCATGTGACTGAGTCTGTCAGTTGTGGTGCCAGCACGTCCATCACATGTTACTGAAGCTCTTAGCACGCTTTGCTTTTCAGGAGGGCAGAGTGGGCCCAGTAATTTCAGGTTTTAGAATTGTCGATGATGGTGTGGCTCCTTACACACTTCTACATGACTTTGAAAAACATTTTCTCAAGTTATGAAAAGAAACCTTGCACTTGGCTTTCTCACCAAAATAGTATTAAGTAGAACAATTGACCGGTTCACGTATTAGTACTTTTTATCAAAATGTTACATTTGTGAACTTTCCATAAGTTTTCCTTTTCAGTAGTTATAGAGCCTTCATTTCCTTTAAATAGCAAAGACATATCTCTTTTTGGTTATAAAAATGACAGGCAAAAATGTAGGTGACACGTTACATTTCTGTGTTTCAGATATGTTTTCTTCTTTTTGCCGTCCTTTACATCGCTTCCTACTTCATCATTACAAGATACAAGAGAAAATCAGGCAAG